AAAAGGTGCAATATTCTCGGCTCAAAGTGTCCCACTCTAATCAGCTAATTAAGCCATAACACCTGCAAAGGGTTCCTGAGCCTTTAAATGGTCTCTCAGTCTGGTTCAGTAGGAATCACAATCGTGGGAAAGACTGCTGACCTGACAGTTGTGCAGAAAACCATCAGTGACACCCTCCATAAGGAGGAAAGCCTCAAAAGGTAATTGCAAAAGAAGTTGGATGTTCCCAAAGTGCTGTATCAAAGCACATTAATAGAAAGTTATGTGGAAGGGAAAAGTGTGGAAGACCTGCACAAGCAGCAGGGATGACCGCAGCCTGGAGAGGATTGTCAGAAAAAGGCCATTCAAAAGTGTCAGGGACTTTCACAAGGAGTGGACTGAGGCTGGAGTCAGTGCATCAAGAGCCACCACACACAAACGAATCCTGGACATGGGCTTCAAATGTCGTATTCCTCTTGTCAAGTCGCTCCTGAACAACAAACAACATCAGAATAGTCTTACCTGGGCTAAGGAAAATCAGACCTGGTCTGTTGCTCAGTGGTCCAAAGTACTCTTTTCTGATGAGAGCAACTTTTGCATCTCATTTGGAAACCAAGGACCCAGAGTATGGAGGAAGAATGGAGAGGCACACACTGCAAGATGCTTGAAGTCCAATGTGAAGTTTCCACAGTCTGTGTTGATTTGGGGAGCCATGTCATCCGCTGGTGTTGGTCCACTGTGCTTCATAAAGTCCAGGGTCAACGTAGCCATCTACCAGGAGATTTTGGAGCACTTCATGCTTCCTTTCGCAGATGAGCTTTATGGGGATGCTGACTTCATTTTCCAGCAGGACGTGGCACCTGCCCACACTGCCAAAAGCACCAAAACCTGGTTCAGTGACCGTGGGATTACTGTGCTTGATTGGCCAGCAAGCTCGCCTGACCTGAACCCCATAGAGAATCTATGGGGCATTGCCAAGAGAAAGATGAGAGACATGAGACTGAACAATGCAGAAGAGCTGAAGGCTGCTATTGAAGCATCCTGGTCTTCCATAACACCTCAGCAGTGCCACAGGCTGATAGCTTCCATGCCACGCCGCATTGAGGCAGTAATTGCTGCAAAATGGGCCCAAACCAAGTACTGAGGACATATGCATGCTTATACTTTTCAGAGGTCCGATATTGTTCTATGTACAATCCTTGTTTTATTGATTGCATGGAATATTCTAATTTTCTGAGATTGTGGATTTGGGGTTTTCATGAGCTGTAAGCCATAATCATCACAATGATGACAAATCACGGCTTGAACTCTCTTGCTTTGCATGTAATGAGTCTATCTCATAGATTAGTTTCACCTTTTAAGTTGCATTACTGAAATAAATGAACTTTTGCATGATATTCTAATTTTTTTGAGTTTCACCTGTATATAAAAAATATACGATACCTGAAATTCTTCTTAATGTGGAACTTTAAGAGGTACCAGTGTAGACATTTTTATATAAAATTCTTAATTTTATTTTACATACATGCAAAGATTTTTAATTTCAAAATGTGTTCCAGTCTGACAACTACAAACAATACACATGACACTGATCAATCCTGCCTCTTATACCGGTTAAGGGGAGGTGTTCTGTAGTTCAGACGGGAACTGGTCAGGGTTGAGAACTCTGCATGAGATATTAAAGTGGTATTACAGCCCTGGTCAAAAGTTTTTAGCATGACACAAATATTAATTTACCTGCAAGGAAACACGTGCAGTCATTGGTGCTTTGCAAAGGCAAAGATCTTGCTGCTATTAAGATTACATCCAAATCAACTATTTATCAGATCATCAAGAACTTCAAGGAGAGAGGTTCAATTGCTATGAAAAAGGCTTCAGGGCGCCCAAGAAAGTCCAGGAAGCACCAGGACCATCTCCTAAAGTTGATTCATCTGCAGGATCGAGGCACCACCAGTACAGAGCTTGCTGACGAATGGCAGCAGGCAGCTGTGAGTGCATCTGTATGGACAGTGAGGTGAAGACTTTTGGAGGATGGCCTGGTGTCAAGAAGGGCAGCAAAGAAGCCACTTCTCTCCTTAGGAAATACGTCAGGGACAGACTGATATTCTGCTAAAGGTACAAGGATTGGACTGCTGAGGAGTGGGGTAAAGTCACTTTCTCTGATGAATCTCCTTTCCGATTGTTTGGGACATCCGGAAAAAACCTCGTCCGGAAAAGAAAAGGTGAGCGCTACCATCAGATCTTGGTCTTTCCAGCAGTAAAGCATTCTGAGGCCATTCATGTGTGGGATTACTTCTCAACCAAGGGAGTGGGCTCACTCACAATTTTGCCTAAACACGGCCATGAATAAAGAATGGTACAAAAACATCCTCCGAGAGCAACTTCTCCCAACCATCCAAGAACAGTTTTGTGATGAACAATGCCTATTCCAGCATGATGGAGCGCCTTGCCATAAGGCAAACGTGTTAACTAGCTTGAGGAACAAAACATCAAAATTTTAGGTCCATTGCCAGGAAACTCCCCAGACCTTAATCCCGTTGAGAACTTATGGTCAGTCCTCAAGAGGCGGGTGAACAAACCCCCCACCCCACCCCTCCAACAAATTCTGACAAACTCCAAGCATTGATTATGCAAGAATGGGCTGTCATCAGTCAGGATCTGGCCCAGAAGTTGCTTGACAACATGCCAGGGTGAATTATTATTATACAGTATTTATATAGCGCCAAAGGGTTTGCTCAGCACTGTACAATAGCAAGGGGGACAGAACATGAGACAAGACAGAAACAATACAATACACAAGGGTTTTGAGGACCCTGCTCTTTCGAGCTTACAATCTAGGAGGGAGGGGAATTGTAGAGGTCTTGGAAAAAAAAGGGTCAACACTGCACATAAACTTAATGTAATTGTCAGCAAAAAGCTTTTGACACTTATGAAATGTTTATAATTATACTTCAGTATACCATAGTAACATCTGACAAAAAGATCTAAAAACACTGAAGCTGCAGACTTTGTAAAAATTAAATATTTGTGTCCATTCTCAAAACTTTTGGCCAGGGCTGTATATCCAAAAGCAAATATTTATTATATCGCAGCTTACCATTTCTTGATGGCTGTATTAGTTTTCTCTTTTAGGCTTGTGTTCTTCTATTTTCATCTGGTGATCCAGCCAGTAAGTCTGTTATTTTATCAAAAAGCAGGCTCTTCAGCAGAATGTATCAGTCTACATGATTGAGACAAACCATTTAACACTACCAGGAGTGCTTACTATGATCAGCTTTTATTTGTGTAATACCTTTATATCCCAAAAATAAAACAACTGTTTGCTGTAACTGCTTAAGTAATAGCTGTAGATCGGCTTCATTTTTTAGTGTATCTAAATCTGCTAGTACATCTAACGCTTCCCTCCCCCAAGGCTGACAATGCTGCTGTCCAAAGGGGGCCCCTTGTGCTCCTTCATCCAGAGTGGGGTCACTCTAATACAGGAGGTGTGTTATTGGCCATATCACCAGGTGAAAATGATTTAGTTCAGACTAAGTGTCCGGTGTTCCTGTCCTAATTAATCATGCTAGCTCTGTAGTGCGCGCACTTGAAGAAAACCCACACTGACACACGAGTTCAGTCTGTGAATACTTCTAATTTTATTGGAATGAAAAAGTGAGTTTATATATGCAAAGATGATGCAAAAATCACGTGAGAGCAGCATTTAGCATTTATATTAGTCTGTTTTGGTCATTTTACATGAAAACAATCTTTCCTGGCAGAATATAGGCGTGAATCTCCTTCTAGCCATTATCTCTAGAAAGAAATATTTTTTTTGTTCTCAAGTTCACTCGATGGGTGGGTCGCTGAGCAGCTTTTTTTTGAGTTAAAGGATGACAACAAAGACCAGCAGGGCAAAATTAAAACATATATAATATTAGAATTATATAACTATATATCTATTCATACAAAACATTTAGAAATATAAAAAGTATAACAGTAGATAGATATTAGATATTTTTATATATCTATATAAATATATTAGATATAGAGATATATATATATATTAGATATAGAGATATATAATGAAAATGTATTATATTTCAACAGAAACCAAATAGGCATTTTACCAGATCCATCACAAAAATCAGAGGAAAAAAGACTAAAAAAAAAAAAATCATACAATACAGTTTACCACATCTAATTGGTAAGCTGCAATATATGACGGTTTGGGGTTTAATGCAGAGTGAACAGCACGCTGGATTTCTGGCAGAAATTAACGTGTGTGTGTACGTTGTTTGGTTTGTTTTTTTTCTTTTTTCACTTCTCGAACCAATATAACAATAACATTTTCAACTGTAAATGTGTAACAGACCCAAAGGGGAGCAAATAATAGAAGCTCGTTGTTAGGGTTTTACATACTCTTTAAAACTTTCATGTTTTTTTTGGGTTAATTTGTTTCATTTGGAAGCTGGACAGATCCCAGAAGCCAAGCAGTCAGTTTGATAGTGTCAGCTTCCAAAATTGTGTTGTGGCATTTGCTATTGTGTTATCAGTTTCCTGGCTCCTGGTCGGACTGACTGGCTCCGGTGTTCTGGGTTGACGTATTGTACAACCCTTGCAGTACTGACATTTTTCATTTCTTGTGATTGGGTTAAAATGTTCAAGTATGGATTCTGTGAGCCAAAAGGCTGGAGAATAGGAGTTTGTATGATAAACTGAGATTTTTCATTAAACTGTTTCCTTCAGATATGTAAATCTGAAATCCCATTTTGTGCTACCTTGTAGAATTTTTCTAGATCGGTTTCAGGCTAAAGGTCTTCTACCTTTTTTGTTGAAAACTACTTTAAGGTCTCTTTATTGTGTGTTTGGAAGATGTTTTGACGTGGTTTTGCTTTCGTGTTGCAAGTCTGGGTGCCCTGCCAACATTGCAGAGTTGAAGTAGTTGTGAAGCAAACCTGAAGTCTACAGCAAAAAAAAATGAAATCAATATAGGCTGGAGAGTGTCCACCCTATTATTTTATACTGTTTTCCTCCTGCAGCTTCATCGGGCCCAGTGTGCAATCAGCAGACCCAAGTGACGGTTCAAAAAATTGGAAACAGTAGATTGAAGAGAAATTGCGGTCTTTCTTCATCAAGCAACAACCTGGTGAGAATTTTTCTGAGCGCTAACTTTACTATAAAGCTGAACTCCAGCCTTCAGTCTTGCACAGTTGTACCGGCTTCTCCTGTACTGAAACTGTTTACTCTGATTTCACTGCACACTGTGAGTTTTTCCACAATGTGCATTAGAAGCTGCAGCAAAAACCATATGCAGCCTGCCTAGTTTTCCTGGCTGGGAGGGGCATCTATTCCTTTCCTCCCCTAACCCCGACTGTCCCTGGGCCTGCCCTATAATTCATTGGATTTCAGTTCTTTTCATTCATTGAGGCATTTGATATTTGCATAATTTGTCCCAGGGGCCAGCCCACTGCTCGCAAACCCGGGGCTGAGGGAAGTTGATGTGAGTACTAAGGCAGGGTGCTGTGAGATTTTCAAGAAGCTATGTACAGCACCCCCTGCTGTGGTCCCCGACTATCAGCCATGATCTGCTTGTATTGGATAGAGAAGCACAGAAACCTTTGAGCACATCACTGGGTCTGATTTAAGGTATGTTACGATAACAGAACATTTTTATTTAAAAATATCATTGGCGTGGTGATGAAGGTGGAGGGAAGAACCCCTTAGACTTGCTTTGCTGCTTCAGACAGCAAAAAACACACAGTGAGGAAGTGTATTTTATATCCTATTTACTGGACAGCATTGCATGTTGTCAGCGGTTGCAGCATTGCAGCATGAATGATCGGTATAATCACCGTGGCATGTCTCAGCAACAGGTGGAGTGGTTGAGGGGTGGTAAGACCGTGGCTCAGCTACGGGGTTTTACCACTCCTAAATCTCAAGCATAATTGAGGCCTTAAAAGGATAAGTTCACCTTTCATAACATGCCACATGTTACATTCAAATTCAGGGTGTTACATGTTGTGAAAGGAACGGCCCCTGCTCCCCCACTTTGACAGCGGGTGATCTTTGTAGCAAACTAGCTCATCAGAATTGGACGCAGAGTTCCCCTTTTTCCTTTTCTTTTTATTGGAAGTATTCCTCAGTCCTACAGTCCCTACCCCCTCCCTTCCTGAGAGGCAAATGTTATATCCTGACAGATGGGGGGGGGGTCAACCCAAGTTAAGGCATCCTCAGTTCGGTGCCAGGCAGTCTGCGAAAGTGTAACCTTTCTCACCTAAAATCATGATAAGGCCAGCTCATCAGAGCATTGGGAAGCCCTGATCCCAGACCTTGTGTAGGCTCACCCATCATAAAACAGATAAGGCAGCTTCTCCCCGGAATTGAAAGAAGTTGAAACCTCCCAGAACCTAACAGTTAAAGATGACAGATGTTGGTTCTAATTCAGAGTTCTCCCCGACCCCTCCCAAAACAGCATAAAGGCCAGTATTCAGAGCCACCCCCCCCCCCCTTGCAGAGGGATTTTTAAAAAAGAGACAGGCTGGCAGGCCTGGTAGAAGAAAAACACATCTCCTGAGTTTAACATTGTAACAGAGGAGATCAAAGACCCTTCCTGCTCTGCACTTGGATCTGCTTACAAATCAAGGCATATTGGCAAGTAACTTAACCCTTTAACTTCCTTCCTATTATCGCTTTGCTGTACCTTTTTTATATATATATATATCTTAGTTACATCTTTTTCTGTAAATATTTTATTGCACCTGTTTGACTCTCTTAGTAATACATCTTTCTTTCTGAAAGTGTTAAACTGTTTCTAAGCGCTTACTTGCAATTCACGAATTCCTGCCTTTTGAAGAGACGCTTCTGTGTATATTTGATAACGGGAGTTTCCCAGTCTCCGACAAAAGTGGTGGTGGCAGTAGAGGGTTAGTTGCGTAATTAACCCGACCCAGTAACAAGCGCATTCAGGCTGCAGGCACCGATTGTAGCCCATTAGCTGGACAATCGCTGTGCAGGGTACAGCTGGGTGTGGCCTTGTTACGCGCGTCACACCGCGGTTTTAGATCGGCCGGTCCTTCGGTCACGAGTTTGGTGAGAAGGTCTGGGGTCTGCCGCCGCGGGCGTGATGTATTACTGTTAGTCGCGGTCGTGTGATTATCACATGTTGGTGGCGGTGACCGTGCGAAACGTGACAATCTTCTCCCCCGCTAGCTGTCAAAATGAAAACAAAAAAAAGCGACAGTTGCAGAGATCTGCCCGCCAGGCCACGTCATTCATTCACAGTCCTCTGTGAATGGGAAAACTAATAGCCTTAGCGGCTGTCTGCTTGTCGTTCTCAATGAACTACCACAGCTCTGTGGTAATTCCTATATTCTTCCTGTCAGAGGGTATCGATTTGCTCGTATGGGATGTACAGGCAAGCAGATATACTCAAAGTCTGCCAGAGACCTGCATTGTTCCAGCGTTCTGATCGCTGATGCAGTGCTTTACAGGCTCCTGCGACCAAAAATAGTAAATGCACTTTTTTTTTTTTTTTTTACCTGCAAACTAATGTGCATTTATTAATTTTTGTCAAAAGGTGAACTTATCCTTTAAATAATATGTAAACTCAATCACTAAAATTATAGGGATGCACCAAAATTTTGGTGGCCGAAAACACCCTTATCGGCCTTCGGCCGATATGAAAATAAGCACCGATACAAGTGCCGAAAATAACCCCATCTGCCGCCGCCGCTCAGTGGTTTTCAGCCTTACCTGAGAAACCACTGAATGATCCTGACTCTGGGCATAGATATAAGTGAAAGAAAGATGGCTTCCATTCATCCCTATGCCCTTTGTGGGCCAGAGCAATGTCACTTCCTGTTCTGGCACCTTGTAACCAAGGCCTTTTTGTTTGTTTTTTTGAAGTACTAGATCAAAGCTTTTTTTTTTTTTTTTTTCTTTTAATCGAATGCTTTACGTTGTAGAGGATAGATGTGGAGCCTTATTATTAACTCCATATCTCTCCATAAAGAGGACCTGTCTCTAATTATTTTATGAAAAGGGATGCATGCATTCCTTTTCATAGGAATAAAAGTGATTAAAGAATCAAAAAGTAAAAAAAAAAAGATTTAAGTACCCCCTTCCTCCCGTGCTTGTGTGTAGTGGTGAACACATACGTAGGCCACGCCCACATATGTAAATGATGTTTTTAAACCACACATATGCAGTATTGCCACGAAAGGCCGAGCAAGAGCAGTAAGTTTTTAGTACTAGACCTCCTCTGCAACTTTACACTGGTAATTGTAGAAATTTTTAAAAGGTCACCCATGGAGATTTTTAAGTACCGCAGTTTGACGCCATTCCACGAGCAAGCGCAATTTGAAAGCATGACATGTTGGGTATCTATGTACTTTGTGTAACATCTTTCATATTTTACAAACAAAATTGGGGTATAGTGTGGTTTTTTTTTTTTTTTTTTTTTTTTTTTTTTTTTTATAATCATTTAAAGTGTTTTTTTTTTTTTTTTCCCAAAAAATTGCGTTTGAAAAATATATATTAATTTTTAAAAGCTGTCCATTTCTGTTTTCGGCCAAGTGCATCCTGAATTTTCAGTTTTGGTACCAGAGTTTTTGTTTCTGTACACCACTACTAAAATCTTTTCTAAGTTTTCAACATGTTAATGTCATCACAGAAGTAATTTTCAATATTTTTGTATCTGCAGATTTCGTTTTCATAGTTTTTCAATCATGTGCAAAGTGACTGTACCAAAATAATACAAAAAAATAGTAGTCGAGTTATCTGTTCCATTGTCTTCATCTTCTAAGGCTAGGTGCCTTTTATTTTTCACTTTTAGAAAAAAGAGAGCGAGTGTTTACGCCTGAAGATACTGGTCCTCCAGGATGAACTGGAGAGGCAAAAGAAAGCTTTGGGCCGGGAGGTGGAGCTATTGCACAAGGAGCGCAATGCACTTAATGTTAGATGTAAGTAAATATTTTGTGTTTTTTTTTTTTTTTTTAAATTTATTTTTTTTTTGTTTGTTTTAATCTTTTCTGACTCTTCTTTGCCTTTCTATTGTTCAATGAGTCCAACAATTGTACTGAGCAAGCTATAGTGTGGGGAGCAAGCACTCAATGATCCAGCAGTGCTATCCAATAATAAATAGCCCCTCTTTAACCACTTGCCTACCGGGCACTTTTACCCCCTTCCTGCCCAGGCCAATTTGCAGCTTTCACTTTGACAATTGCGCGGCCATGCAACACTGTACGCATGCCATTTTTATCATTTTTTTGAGACTGATAGAACTTTCTTTCGGTTGTATTTAATCACCTCTGGGTTTATTTTTTGCTAAACAAACCAAAAACTGAAAATTTTGAAAAAAAAAAGTTTTTTTTCTTGGTTTTTGTTAAAAAATGTTCTAAATAAGTAATTTGTCTCCTTCTCTGATGTGCGTGAATGAGGCTGCAGTGATAGGCACTGATGAGGAGGCACTGGTAGGTGGCACTGATGGGCATTGACAGGCATCCCTGATGGGTGCTGAAAGGCAGCACTCATACATGGCACTGATAGGTGGAACTGAAAGGCAGCACTGATGTGGCACTGGCAGGTGGCATTGATGTGGTACTGGCAGGTAGCATTGATGGGGCTACACTGATCATCAGGGCACTGATCATCATATGACGTCCTCCCAGAACAAGAGAACCACCGCCCTCCCGTCATTACCTTTTTATATGGTGGGCGGGAGGCGGTTAAACACAGTTGCTTTCAGGTCACTAAAGAAATAAAATCCCTGAAAGCTGAAAACCATTATACTAACCTCTCTGGGTGCCCCTGTGTCCAACCTTCCCTTTGTTCCATTACTGCAGGCCCTATCCATGTTTTCGACATTCGACTCCCGGAAGTGTGAATGCTGAACACACCCAACAGGGAGAGAGGTAGGATGTGCCAGTAGAGAGGAGTCTAATGGCTCTTCTCTTAGGATTTGACTGTTTGATTTCCTTAGAGACCAGACAGTTAAGTTGACTCTGTTATCCTCATGTATAACTAAAGGCAAAACCTTTTTTTGTTTTAGAGTGAAGAGGGAATAAAACACCTGTCAGGTTTTTATTGGTTTCTGAGTATCTGTTAGGGAGGTTCATTCTCTGTTTTACTGGTCACCATTATCTGTGAAAGTGAAAGAAAATCCCAAATTTGAATGGCTACCAGTACAGGAATAGAGGGGAAATCCTCTAATGGGGACAGTGATTTACCTCACTTTAGAGGCATTTCCCTCTCGCTTCCTGTTTTGTCTATGGGACAGGAAGTGAAGGGAAATCTTCCCAAAGGGGCACAGATGACAAAAAAGATGGGTTATAACCCTCTCTTACACTATCCAAAGCACAAGAACTGTATTGCTTCCAGTTCAACTTTAATAAATATTCTGTCTGATTTTCTACAGAATCCGCTTACATACAATACAGGATCAGAAGAAGAGCAATAGGAGAAGAATGAATGAAGCAGAAGTAGGGATATGCTAGCATTGCAGGTCCTTATATACAGCTTCCCCTACAGCAAAGAGAACAGTGAGCAGCACAGTAGTAATATCATTTGATCTCACTCCAAATCTGCTGAGACAAGCAGTCAAAGGGAACAGTGCCTTAGATTTATACTGTAGCTGTAAAGATATGAGGCTGTAGCAGGAGAAATGTAAGAGGTATTTAAAACAAAGTAACATTTTCAGGGTATTGCTTATGCACAATGAACATTTCCAGATAACATTGCAAATATTTACTTTTTTGAGTTCAGGTCCACTTTAATAGCTGGGTCCAAACTCAGAAAAATAACCTGGAGTACCACGTTTCAAACGCAAACCTCAGTATGCTTTATTGGCCTTCAGTTGGTGGGACATACTAACACCATTGGTTATCCAACAACTGGAGAGCAGAAGGCTGCTTTAGACACCAGTTTTTTTTCTTTGTTTTTTGTTTTGTCCATTATTGCTGTTTCAGATGTGACTTCTGAGCTTTACAGCTGTACAAGCAACAATTTGCTTCTATAATGAGGGAAAAAAATAATCAAACCAAGCTGGGGCTTCAAAACACAACAAAAGTCTATAAGGCCCCATTCACACCTGAGCGATTTTCATGTTTGAAGCGTGTAGCTCTAAGGCCCCTTTCAGATGGGGCGGACCAGTCAGCGGCTCCGCCTGCTCAGCGGGGGATCTCTCAGCTGATGCCAGCTGAGCTGGCACATGACAGGTTTGTGTCCGCTACGCTGCTGCAGACGCAGACATCGCCTGCTGTATTCTATGGGGCAATCGGATGGAAACAAACTGCCTGTCTGTTTCCATCCGACTGCCATCCAATCCAACAGACAGGGATCCCCATCCGTTTGTTTTTGGTGTACAGGATCAGATTGGATCCCGATCGGATCACTTGTCTGCTGACACCTGCCGGTCCATACAGGTCTATGGATGGTATGATTGGGTCCGCCTGAAAAACTGACAGGCAGACCAAATCTGATCAGTTTGAAAAGGGGCCTAAAACGCTCAAGAAGCCAAATCCCATTCAATTCAATGGACCCTGTTCGCATATGAGCGTTTTGTCACCTGAAGCAAAAACGGCTGTCTCTCAAACAAGTACATGAGCTTCTTTTTGGCAGATTACAAGCATTTTTGGCCCCATACACTTCAATAGAAACAAACACCTGAAAACATGTGAAGAGCATTGTACATTTTCTGCTCAAACCGCAGCTCTCCACTCCTAATTTCCTGCCCCTCTCCTCCTTCTAGTGCTTCCTATTGGCTAAACAAAAATGCCTGAAGCTGTAAAACACTTTGTAATATGCTTCTAAAGTGCTTGTAATACTCCTCTAAAAATTCTCAAAAACTCTCAAATAAAAATGCCAGTAAATCGCTACGCTCAGATGTGAATGCAGCCTAAATGTTATGCTGTGCAAATCCACCAGTGTGAAACTATTACTTTTTTTTATATGTTGGCGATATGCACCTTTTGAATGAGATGTGTGTTCATTATATAAAAGATTTTTTTCCGGAATAATTTTCCAGGGCAAGTACTTGAGAGATGATTGGCTTCGCCTTTAACAGTCTGAATAATTTAAAGGTCTGTTTTAAAGATTGTAAATGGATTTCTTTTTATTTAAGGTCATAAATTTAATGTACAGCGCGAGAAGTTGCAGAAAAAGAGCGAGTCTCTTAACGAATTAAGAAAAGAATGTACAGCAAAGAGGTAACTCAGCCATCGCCACAACCCTGGTTTAAATCCAGACGTGTCTTCTCCCTGTCCATAATTCAATTTAATTTGTTTTGCAGAGAAAATTTCCTAAAGACCAATGCTCAGCTCACCATTCGTTGTCGGCAGTTACTGTCTGAGCTCTCGTATATTTATCCAATTGAGGCGGTGAGTGACAAGCAAATAGTGCTTAAGCCAGTCATTCACACAATAAAACCCAATAAAGTCTCTTTTAAAAAAAAAAAAAATGCCAGTCATTCTCATCTAGGGCTCTATGAAACCTTAGGGTATCTCCAGGGGGTGCTAAGGGTTCCTTGAGCTATGGATGATTGCCCTCCAGTTTGACGGTGCTACATGGTTCTGGGTCCAAGCTTTTTCTAGCTGCCTGAAAGGGTGGCATTCTGACCATTACTATAAAGGGGACATACTTTCTACTGACCAATGTAAAGAGCATTTTTCCCCACTGATCACCAATGTAAGGGGCTTTCCTCCCAGCCACCACCAATGGTAAAAAGTACTGCAGGTATGAAATGCAAAATGTTTATTGGGCGCAATCTTGTACCTGCATCAGCTTCCCAGACCTTTGGTTATGGACAAATGCAGGGCCTTTTTGAGAGGTAAATATTTGACACTTGCTGATGGTACCATAGCTTGCCTGCCCCTTCCTGCCTCCTTCACATGTCTGTTGGCTAATGAGGTTGTCCATCATAGTGGTGGGCCAACAAGATTATGTGGGGGTGGATCAGAATGGCCCAGTGTTTGGCTGTGACAGAGGTTTGGGAAGCGGCTATGTGCACTGCACTTCATACCGGCAGATGTTTTTTGTTTGTTTAACCTATGACAGATTCTTTCTATTAAAGTGTAGCTAACCTCCGCATTACTTACCTCACTTCAATGATTCGATGTCCCTCGCTGACACCAGCAACTTCTACGCAGCTACTTCTGGGTGCCAGACTGCAGCCATTCTTATTGGCTGGTTCAGGATGAAGTCGCTGTCTTACAATGTAAACTGAGCTGCACATCTCAGTGTACATTGCAAAGCAGGCAGGCAATGGATGCATGTCAGTTTGTCCCATTTATACATTTGTCCATCATACAATTTATGAATGCCTGATTTCCCAATTTCCATCATCGTCATTTCAGGGATTTTCCTTTTTCTTAAACTTTTGATTTGTTTATATGAACAAACCTACTGCGCTGCAATTTATTTCCTTTTAAATGAGAAGGGGGTAATAAGACTTACATTACACACCGGCACAGCACGTGGTGTAAACTAGGGGTAAGCAATCTTCCTCATTCCAGTTGTTGAGCTTACAGTTCACATGAGTTTTTTTTGCAAGTCTGACAGGTATGATGTGACTTGTAGTTTCACCACAGCTGGAGAGCCAAAGTTTGCCTACCCTTGGTCTAAACTGTCAAAATACAAAAGTACACTGACCGTTGCATGTGGTGTGAATAAGCTCACACTGACCTCTCTAGTTACAGACACTGTTCACTCTCAAATTTCAAAAGAGAAGCATTGAAGCTCTTAAAGCCAGGTCCTGCATTTTTTTTCACTTGCACCTGTTTTTTGTTTAGATATTAGAAGGCTGGCCAGCTGCCAAATCATTGCTAGGAGGAAGGGTTGGGAGTAGAATGAGTTAGGCCCCTTTCACACAAGGCAGACTCTGCTTTTTGTTCTGCAGGGAATCTGTCTGAGTTGTGACAGGTTCTTGCCACCAACAAAGTGGGTCTTGGACAGAGTAGATACAGACAAAGCTCAGTCGGCTCAATTGACAGGAGTAAATGGATTCCTCCTGTTATGTTGGTCCCCCCCCGTGCCTGTCAGGACCTATGGAGTCCTGCAGGAGACTCCTCTGTTTGGAACTACACTATTACATGCAGCCGTTTACAGCACTACACACAGGCAGTGCAAAAGGGGCAGAGGTAGCTGAGCTGCGGAATCCATGTCGGGAGGAGGAACAGAGGTAGCTGAGCTGCGGAATCCATGTCGGGAGGAGGAAACAGAGGGAGCGGAGCTGCAGAATCCATGTCGGGAGGAGGAACAGAGGGAGCGGAGCTGCAGAATCCATGTCGGGAGGAGGAACAGAGGAAGCGGAGCTGCAGAATCCATGTCGGGAGGAGGAACAGAGGTAGCTGAGTTGCAGAATCCATGTCGGGAGTAGGAACAGAGGGAGCGGAGCTGCAGAATCCATGTCAGGAGGAGGAACAGAGGGAACGGAGCTGCAGAATCTATGTCAGGAGGAGGAACAGAGGGAGCGGAGCTGCTGAGTTACTGCTGGAACAGGGGAGCTGAAATGGCAGAAAATAAAAAGCACTTCTGCTGTATATTTGGATGAATTTTTCCACATTGCAACTATAGGTGTCAGTGAGGGTATATATACAGTTGAGAAAATTTACATATCTGATTATCCATAGGCTATCCACAGTTGTACTTTAAGGCGGCATGCACACGGCATCTGTAAAAGCCCCTCGGAACGCCAGAACTCCTGGCAGGATAATGTGGCTTCTAAAGTGATTCTAAAGGTACACATATATTTAAAAAAACAAAACAAAAAAAAAAAAAACCCATGTCATTCTTACCTGCTCTGTGCAGTGGTTTTGCACAGGGCAGCCCCTATCCTCCTCTTCACGGGTCCCCCTGATAGTGCTCCAGGCCTCTACCTCCTGGTGAGTGCCCCCAGAGCAAGTTGTTCTGGGGGGGTACTCATGCATGCTCATTCCCAAGCCACCTCTGTGCGTCTGAGACACACAGAGCGTGGCTCAGCCCCAATCCTTCCTCACTGGCTATGATTGCCAACAGCGGAAGTCAGTGTGTCAGCAAATGAGAAGGGAGAGACCTGGGAGAGCTGGTGCACAGCACTGTATTGCGACAGGATTGGGTGAGCATATTGAGGGCCGGAGGGGAGCTGAACAATGAATGCACAGCTTGGTCTGATCGTCTCATGTAAACAAAGGTGCAGCGCTATGGAATGAAATGCAAAATAATAAAAACAATAAGATACTTAAAATCTATATCACGTATTTCATAAATAGTGATAAATAACGCATCGTAGTATAAAAATACATATAAAAGTGCAAACAATAGCATAGTCCACATGATGTCACAAATGCTGTGACTTAATTAAGTGTGAGTGCCCAGTCCAAAAATATCCCAGTAGGTGGAGTGATGAAAGGATCATTAGGATCCTTGTTAACACATGTGATATCCAAAACCGATATAAGACTCACCAGATGCGCAATTAATATGCGCATGTAAGAGATGACCCCTCTTAAGGTATGGATCCAGGAACCGTCTGGAATAAGGTCTGGTCTATTTTCGTGTTTTGGTCCCCCAGCTATCAAGCATGGCTCTGACCTCCTTAGACGTAACTCTGTGGGTAGTAGGAAGCTCAACAGGAGCCCCAGAGAGAAAAGGAGGCCAGAATAGCGTGATGCTGCTTGAAAATGTAGATTTTTATTCCATCCAGCAAAGGGTAAACAAGAAAAACAAATACTGACCAGATAAATCAAGATGGCCGCCGGGACCCAGGTTATACATTGAATAGATAGTTTTGGTAAGCTTTAGCTCTAGTTGTCGATAATTCTGGACCATAATCTATGGGGGATTGTATCATTTTGTAAAATTTCTGGGCAGATGTTTCCCTTTTTATAGTGCCTGTACATTCCAATGTTTACAATCTAGGGTAATCACAGAATGAAATATAAAATATTGATGTATAGCTAAAGAGTTTAATTTTCTGGTACCTGGTTTTAACTCTTTGCTGTCTTCACAGCATGACCAAAAGGATTATTTTATCTGTGGTGTGAAACTACCAAATTCCGAAGATTTTCAAGGTAAGTTTCCTGTCCTTGCTTTTTGTAACAATTTTAAAACTGGTGCATCAGATTCAAAGGAAAAAGTGGACCCTTTTGATAATTAATCTGTAAGGGCGCACATATTCTTAGTCTTTGTTAGTATTCAGTAGTATTCATCTGTACACTTGTGTGTGGATGGACAGGTGTTCTGTCCATCTGCATGCATGCGGTCCCATTGATGTCAATTGAAATGTAGCGGCTTCATGTTCCCATATGACCACGATCTACATTTGGAGACTTGCACCCTTATCTGCTTGGATGTCAAATTGGGACCAGTGGCTGTGTCCATGCAGCTGAACTCTGATCCACTAATAATACAAACATTTGGGCACCACAATCCCCCATCCTGTATTGTAACGGTCTGATGCTTGTTTATTCTGGGGATATATAACAGATTGGAATACATAACCGATTCCTCAGTCCTCCAACCGGCGGCCCTTTTCTCTGCTCCATCCACGGAATGTGAGCGGGCACATGACCTCCTCACATACAATGCGTAGTTTTGTTCACGATGAGGTCAGCAACAGAACGGCCACATGACCAGTGAAGAGTAGTTTGGTTTTTTATAGGACTAGTCATTCATTCTGGAACCACCAGGAATATATCCTGTGGGTGCGAGTAATAAAGTAGGCATTATTATTATACAGGAATTATATAGCGCCAACAGTTTGCTCAGCGCTTTACAATATAACGGGAGACAATACAGCAACTATACAGTTCAATACAAGAGGGATAGGAGGGCCCTGATCCTGGGAGCTTACAATCTAAGAGGAAGGGGCTGGTAGTACAAAAGGTAATAACTGTGGGGGATGGACTGGTAGAAGAAATAGAAGATTCTGTTATTAACTGAAGGCAGGATAGGCTTCCCTGAAGAGGTTTTTAGAGATCACCTAAAAGTGGGCAGAGTAGACAATAGTAGGCATTACTCTACATTATATCCCCCTAGACTACATGAGCATTAGACCCTTATTGTATTCGATTTTGGAAGGGCGTGCAAACCCAAACATTCTTTTTTTTTTTTTTTTTTTTTTTTTTTTTTTTTTTAAGCTGTCCAAAACTCACAGTTGTTCTGCAGCAATGTAAGTAAATGAAGCCTTGAAAGTTCATCTTAACAATTCCTACAGGTGTCCTAACTTTTGCTGGTTACTTACAAGGACTTTGTATAAAAGCAGTGTTGAAACTGAGCTTCTATACCTTCCTAGCCAATGTTTGGACAGTCTTGTACTGTAGGAAGTAGTATATTGCTCTCAGAATGGTGAGAAAAAGGCAATTAAAGGAGACATACTATTATAACCCTTAAAAGTGTAGATATTTCCTTTAGAGAAATGCAAAGAAAGGTGTCGGTGAGTACAGTTTCCTACGCTATCGAAAGGCACTTGGAAACTGAGAGGACGAGGTCTGGCAGAATCAAAGCAACAACAGAATCGGAGGACAAGTTAACAGCTTGACAGTCAGCTCACTGAACTGCTTAACCACTTCCCGACCGGCTGTTGTATATAAATGGCCGGACGGTGGCAGTGCAGGGTCGGGTGGCTGTTTATAAATGGCCTCCCCACACCCTGCTTGTGCGCGCTCCCTGGGAGCGCGAAGCACCGCGATACCGCGATCCGGACACAGTGAAACACCGGTCCTCAGACGGGACCTCTGTACAAGGTCCCGATCATGTGCTCACTGATTGGCCAATCAGTTATCACATGCAAAGTAGCAAGCAAGATGTCACTTGTGACATTGCTTACTACGTGTGAAATCTGTGAATGATCAGAGGTCACATGGTACAAGGCTATTCACAACAGCCTTGTACCATGTGACAAGCTGTGACCAATCACAGCTCACTCAGTACTTCTCAATGACTGCAAGAATGCAGCCTTAGAGAAAGAGAAAATGATTGCTTTTACATCCTATATGGGTGTAAAAGCAATCCGTGTAAAAAAAAAAAAAAAAATAAATAAATCATCACCCCCCACAAGTAGTACAGTGTCACCATGGTGACACTGTACTGCTAGGGTGACAGTATGTAAAAAAAACAAAAATACAAATAAAAAAATAATATAAAAAAAAAATAATGTAAAGAAAAATGTTTAAAAATTATAATTTTTGGTTATAAAACTAATTAGAATTTTTTTTTACTAAAAAGATAAATAATATTTCATCATAGATCTTGGCTAAAATGTATTATTTGCAAAATTTTATTCAAATTAAATAAATACTTGTGAGCCACTAGAAGTTTTCTTACTCTCAAAACAATTAATTACGTGCATAAAAAGTAATGTGAATAATATATATGTGAACAACTAAAGTATTAATAATTAATTAATTACGTGCTTAAATAAATTATATAAAATGTTATATTATATTATATTAGATCGCCAGGTACTTGTTACACCCTCTCCAGGTGTATAGATGTGTTTTTTTTTTTTTTTTTTATATATTTTATTATTTATATTAATTATGGATTGAAGTATAATTGATTTAGTTAAGTATCGAATTATTGGTGATACACTCAGCAATTTACAATATCACTAAAAAATTTCTAACATCACTCATAGTTGTATATATTGGAGCGCGGTACAATATTGCAAAATTTTATATAACACTTTTTTAAAAAAATTTTTTTTTGGACTTTTTCATTTACATAGCAAAAAAAAATATAAAAATTCCAGCGGTGAATAAATACCACCAAAATAACGCTTTATTTGTCTAAAAAAAAAGGTAAAAAATTCATATGGGTACAGTGTTGCATGACCGCCCAATTGTCATTCAAAGTGTGATAGCGCTGAAAGTTGAAAATTGACCTGGTCAGGAAGAGGGTAAACTGTCCGGTCTGGAAGTGGTTAACACTGATTGAACTAAGTAAGTCTCCGTTTCAACTGTGAAAAGAAAACTTTGAGCTGCAGGTATGACAGTTTGAGTTGCTGTAACAAAGCCATTACGAAGGTGGCAAAATCAGAGGCTTGCCTGGGCCATGAATGTCCGACCTCAAGTTCCTGTCCTCAAGCGCACTTGGTTTATGCAGCGGGGGTTTAGGGGGCAATTACTTTTTCGCATGGGGCCAGGCAGATTTGGACAGCTTTTTTTTTCCCTTAATACATGAAATTATCATTTTAAAAACGCGTTTTGTATTTACTCGGATTCTCTTTGTATAATATTAAAAAATATTTGGCGATCTGAATCATTGAAGTGTGACAAATATGCAAAAAAAAAAAAAAATCAAGAAGGGGGAAATACTTTTTCACAGCATTGTATCTGCAAAAGGTGTTTACTTTGATCAGTCAAAAATGTAGATTACGTTTTGTTAAAGCAAACAATTCCCTGATTTTATTTCCAATTGTTTTTGTTCTATGCTTTATTTTTAGAGTATATTAAGACATTTAATTGTGCAAATTTCACAAAAAAATGAGGGTGTTCTGAAACTTTTGACCGGTAGTATAAATCATTGCAAATTTTAGAATTCTGTCCTAGAGAAACGGGCCATAACATTTCCTGAACTAATAAGCTACAGAACAATATAAGGAAGCGTAATTTCAATTTTTAAACAAGCTGTTTGCCTGGAGAGATGCCTGACAGACTGCAAATGAACAGGAGACTATAGATGTACTGTAACAGGATGAGGGTTACAAAGATGGAGAGCCCTATGTGGCCTTAATAGCACCAGTTTATCCATTTATCATTCTCTGCATAATGGACAGCTTCTGGTTGCAGGCTAGAATTTGCTGGTTTGACTAATAGAATCCATGTTCTTTCCATCCTATTTGAGTCTACCATCATTGCATTATGTGTTATTGTACGGTGTGTTCCAGAACAGCTTGCCTAGCTACATTATTATTGATAGCAGGAGATTACTCTGCTATTTCTTTACTAAGTGGCTGTGTCCTGCAGAGCAGTGTGTAGCTAGTGAAATGGAGCCTAGAATATGTTTCAGTTCTTGCTTTTTCTGCCTCCTAAGTTGGCTTTGTGCAGGCTGTGATCCCGCAAGTTGTATGTAACCCTTTCAGGAGAAGATGTTGATATCTGGAGGCCCAGAGCAAGTCTAGCAACAATAAGGATCAGAAGGATTTTCTTTCTCCCTTTTTTTTTTCTTCCTTATTTTGGAATAAAAAAAAAAAAGGTGACCATTGATAGGAAAAGCTCCCTGCACCCATCCAAATTGTTTCTAAGTATCCGTGCCCTGGGATTGCCGAGCTGGGTTTGCATAGTAGCATGGGGCAATGCTAACAGCAGCTGTGGTCAGACTGACAACTCGTGGGGACCCCGGGCAATAGGGGATCATGGGGCCCCTGTGTCCTTGCCCACACTCAAAGCACACCCAAAAAAGCCTATAAAAGGAACCAGGGGCATCTCGTGGGGCCCCCTTACTGCAGGCAGTGCCTGAGTGCTCGAATGGTCAGTTAGGGATGTAACATTGCTTGGCGTGATGTAAGATGCCTGATCTCTGGGGCCAGGGCAAGTCCTTGCCCAAACTCAAAAAAGCTCCTAAAAAAGGTACCAGGGGCATCTCATGGGGCCCCCTACTGACCCCGGGCCCTCGGGCAGTGCCCCGAGTTTCCAAATGGTCAGTCTGCCCCTGAGAACAAAGTTTAGCAAATGTAACAAGGCTCTTGTTTGATGCAATATTTTAATAGCTTGCTTGTAAAAAAAAATATGTATTTCTTTCGATCAAACCTTTATGTGATCCCTGGTCTTCGCTGTCATAGTGATCAGGAACTGCACTGATTTTTCAGAGACCCTGGGAGCTGCCAGTGACAGCGTGGTCTCCCCCCCAGGAGCAAGCACACAGATGTGCACCCCTAGCTGTGAAAGGAACTTATATTAAAAAAATTAAAATGTTACACCCAGACATGGTACATATAGCACCTGAAAACAATTCAAATCTGCCACACCGCTGCATCATTAATTTCAGATTCTGGTGAATGAAGTAACCACAAGTTCCGTCTGCCACTGCCGCCTTGTAGTTCTCAATGAACTGCAAGGGGACTGGTGAG